TCTCTCTCTCTCTCTCTCTCTCTCTCTCTCTCTCGCCTTCTCTCTCGCTTCTTCGCCCTTTTCTCTTCTCGCTCCTCTCGCCGTCTCGTCTCCACCGTCGTGGCCATTACGTCGGTCGAGGAACTAACTTAAACTCGGCCGCGCCCCGTGCATTTTAATGCGACCGCGATTTATCAGGCAGCGCGGCATTTTCGACGCGCGGGAATTGCCTCGCGCGTGACATCGAGAGTAAAAGTGACCACCCTGCGAAAGAGTCACTCACATGGCGCGCGTGTGTATGCATGTGCACCCGCACCCGCGTTCCAACGGCGATTGAAACGCTGTCCATAAAGGACAATTCGCACCTTGGCAGAGAGGCAGAAGGCGATCAGAACTCGCGCGCTGGTGGAAAAGCAGAAACTGTCGACTACCGTCTGACCACCAGCGTGCGAGTTCCGATCTGTCTTTCTGCTTTTCTGCCAGGATGTGAATTCTCCCTAACACAGCGCGAATCGCGACTGAAATTTGGTGTGTCATGCCGCAAGACAGTTCGGCAGTCGCAGGTTCAAATGTCGACACGTTGGTAAAAGATGGATCGACCGCGCTTTCTTTCTTTCTCTTTTTCTCTCTCTCTCTCTCTATGTATCTATCTATCTATATCTCTTCCTTTCTCTCTCTTTCGATTCCATCGTGCACACGAAGGTGTTTCGCGGCTGTCGACGTTCTACGTGAGAGCTGCTCCTCGAAATAAAATTTGATATCGGGAAAACTGCGGGAGGAATTGAACGTTAAGTTGATAGCGGGGTACGGAGGTAAAAGCTAATACGAGCCGAACTCTCATATCGCGTCCATATCTAAAACAAGACGAAATTTCTCGAATAACGTGACTGGAATATGAAAAAATTTGCAAGTCACCCGCCTATTAAATACACCCGTTGATGTTTACCGTTGTCACTCGCGAGAATTCTCCGGCATTCACTCGTCCGGAAGGACACCCATCTTCGCTCGAGAAAAATGGACGACGACATTCGCGTTCGGAAACCCGCGCGGTTCCCTACAACCGCGGAAAAACCTTCTCAAGATTATAACCCCCTAACAATAATTTTACACACCGAGTAGAAAAAAGGAAAGAAAAACGGTCGCGTCCTTATATCCTAACCGATATTTTGATAATTTCTTCACCCCGCGATCTCTCGGCGATCGTATCGCACGCGGGCTACCCGCGTACCTTCCGCTCTCTTTTTCATCCTCCTCTTCCCTTCTGTCATCTCCTTGCGCTCTCTTCCGGTACGCGGATACCCGGATACTCGACGACGATCCAAAGTGTGTGTGTACCCTTAAAATTACGATAGTCGAGGACGCGTGACACTAGCTGAACTATACCGTCTCCGTCGTGCCTCTGTACATTGGTGTTTTTATTTAGAAAATAATTCGACCGTTTAGAATATATAATTTATGTATATATATATATATACTTTTTTTTATTTATATATATATATTTATCTGTATATGTATGTATATATTTATATAGCTGCAGTCCTACGTTGCTTAGTGCGGTGTCTTCCTCTCGCTTTATGATACACGTTCGCACGGCGCGACACGAGCTCTCCCTCTCCTTTTCTCTCGCCGGCGCGGCCACCTTCTCGAATAAAACACAATCTAGGGATTCTAACGACTCGTCTCTCCTCGTTCCGTCCTCTTCCGTTCCCGCCGATTGGAGCACCGCGACTCATTGAGTTCTTTCCTTTCCTCCTCTCCCGCTCTCGGGGATGATCTCGAAAAGTAATTCGGCGTAGACCCGATGCGCTATCGAACTTCGGTTCTCGATCGAGCTCGGCACGATCATCAAATGGTCACAGCGCGTGCACAGCGTTTCTACGCGTACCTATGTATACATATCACATGGAACAATCACAGGCTCCATGTGGCCGATGGCCCGTCGTTTCCGGCGTTCGCGGGCCGAACTTGGCCTCTTCCCACGGCTGGCTGCACGCGGCCCCCGCGAGAGATTTCCGTTCGGCGTTATTCGTGCTCGACAACGCTGATATCTCGCGGTAATCAGCGCGCTAAGGTGGAGGAAAATCCCGACGAGAGTCCTCCCGTCCGATCTTCTTTCCCTCGACGATACTCCGGGAGAGACACTCCCCGCGGTAACGCGAAAAACGTGGCCCAGTTTCACCCCTGTCTCTCCTTCTCGCGGAGTCGCGGCGGCGAGAGAATAAGACTTACTAAGTACCGTTTGAGGACTGTTGAAGAGTGCGCGTAATCATGACGGAGAACTTATAGCTGTCTTTTGTGCTCTCCCCCCTCGGCCCTCGATGTTATCTCGTTATATGTCAAATTAAATGTGAGGGTCGAAGGGAGATCGAGCAGCGGCGGGAACACAGAGCCGGGAAAGAATGAAGGAACTCGAAGGCAGCATATCCCAGGTGTGGGGGTGTAATCCGCGCGGCCGGAGTAAAGAGACTCGTTCGCGTCCCGGCTACTTCATTCGGGGTGTATCCTCGCGGGTAGTCAGCCCCTACGGGAACTCCGGCTGAATTCGCGACGTTGTCGCGTCGATGACGACGCTCGGTCCAGGACAATGCCGGTGTCTGTCTCGATAGTGATCCCGTGCGGAATGGATTTTCCAGACTGCGCTATTACAGCGAGGTAGGTAATAACGGCGATCACACCGCGTGCTCGCTACTCGGGTTTGGTCTCGCTTCTTGATATTCTTCGTCGACGTTCCGCTCTGGTCTTCCTTCCTTCCCGTCCGACTCGAATTGCTGATTCCTCTCTTCTCTTTCCTCGTGTTTCGCAACGACAGGAACTTTGGTCTTCCCTACGCTCTCGCAACCCTATCAGCTGCCTTTGTCTTCCGCTCTGCCGTCGAATTTCCTTGCTCACGGATCTCGTCCCGCGCTAAGTGAAACAGCGCGGAGGAGTCCGCGCGCGGTCGTCTCCATGCAGATCCCGTCTTCCGTCTTTTGTCCCAACGCGACGCATCCGGTTCGTCGGCGCTCGTCGTCGTCGTCGTCGTCGTCGTCGTCGTCGTCGTCGTTTACGCTCGGTACGTACCGATACCGCCCAAGTCGAGGCTATCTCGCAGCTCCATCTCCAGCTGCGGCTCCCTGTGCTTGTCCGAGCGATGCTGCGCCACCGGCGGCGGGCCGACGTCTCGCTCGCGGTTTCTCTCGCGCGTCGACGACCGGTCCTTTTCGCGTTCTCTCGCGTGATGGTGGTAGTGATGAGCAGCGTGGCCGTTCACTGGCAGCGTGGGGTACGACGACTGGCCGCACGAAGGCTGATGCCTCGAGGGCAACGGTGGCGGTGACGGGTGGTGGCGACCGGCCGGTATGATCCCGTTCTGGAGACCAGACTCTACTCGCATCCGCTCGTCGGGTTCCCTGGAGGTGAGCTGCGGCTGCGAGTGCGGCGTGCGGCGCAGAGAATGATTGGAGTAGTGTGGTCTGCCACCGCCGGCGAGTCCGTCGATCGGCGTGGCGCTCAACGACGCCGTACCGTCGTCCACGGCGCCTCTGCCCCCTCCTGCCACTCCTCCACCGCCTCCACCTCCTCCTCCCGTGCCGCCACCGCGGTGGCCGGACGCGTTGTTTGCGACGGGCAGCGTCCCCGGGCGGCGCATCTGACGCGCTGTCTCGCCGTCGATGTAGGTGAAGCCCTCGGCGAGGGTGGTGCTGCCGTGCGGCAGAAACCAGACCCCACCGGTACCGGGGCTCGCCGCCCGAAGTTCTAGCTACAGCTCCGTCACGGGTATCGGCTTGATGCCCGCCGCTATCTGCGCGTGCTGCTGTTGCTGTTGCTGCTGCTGCTGCTGCTGCAGATGATGGTGATGGTGGTGCGTCGGCACCTGCTGCGACTGCGGCTGATGATGGTGCTGGTGATGATGGGCGTGCGCCGATCGCACGATGTACTCGTCGTCCGAGAAGGTCTTCTGGTACTCGTGCTCTTTCCGCGATATCGCGCGATTCTTCCATTTGTAGTCCTTGAGCACGTCTCGCACGCGTCTGCGGCAGCGGTAGTACAGAGTCAGCGCGAGTACCGTGAAGAGAGCCACTCCCGCGGCACATATCGTCGCCAGGAGGGCTTGCTTGCGCGGATCCGAGAAGGCGCAGCCCAGTTCGTCGGGTGTCATGCCCTTTATGGGCTTACCCTTGGATTCGGGCGGCTCGGCGCATATCACCGGGCTGGAGTTCCTAGGTACCAGAACCTCCGCCAGCCAGAGGAGGCTGCAGTCGCAGACCAGCGGGTTTTCGCTGAGGTCCAGCCGGCGCAATTCGTTCCATGCGACCAGCGACTCCGAGAACATTACGAAGGCGTTGTCGCGCAGCATCAAGTGCCTGAGATTCGGCAGACCTGCCAACGCGCCGTCTTCCATGGTAGATAAGCGCTTGTTGCTGTTCAACACGAGGGTCTCCAGGTTAGCGTTGTCTGAAAAGGCACCCTTCTCCATGGTGGTCAGTAACTTAGCGCCGGACACGTCGAGCTTCTTGAGCGTCGACAGACCTTGAAAGGCGCCTGATCGGAGGATCGTGAAGAAGTTCTGACCCAAGGTCAGCTCTTCCAGGCGCGGTAACACCGCCAGCTGCTTCGTAGGCACCTCGCGCAGCTTGTTGGCGCCTAGTTTCAGGGTGCGGAGAGCGTTCAAACCGCGAAACGCGCCGTCGCTGATGTTGTCCAATCCCGCGCCCATGATATCTAACACCGCGAGCTGCTCCAGACCCTTGAACGCGTCATCTGGTAGCGTAGAGAAAGCATTCCAGCCAATGTGGAGTTCCGCGAGGGCGTTCAACGGTGCCAATGCTGGCGACGGTATGGTTCTCAATTGGTTATCATCGAGATACAACACCCTGAGGGTGCCTAACTTTTGAAACGCGCCCGGGTCCACCTTGGATATGCGATTCTGGCCCAGGTCGAGCTCCTCGAGCTTCGACAGGTAGGCGAAGAGGCCGCTCTTAAGCGTCTCCAGATAGTTGTCGCGCAGATTCAGCACCGTGAGGGACTTGAGGCCCTGGAACGTTTTCTCAGTCAGTGCTGAGATTTTGTTGTGCTTGAGGTGGAGCTCCACCAGGTGCCGTTGCGCGTCGAAGCTGCCGTTCGGTATGGTGAACAGGTGGTTGCTGGAGAGATCGACGTTCTTCAGATCACCGTAGAACTGGAACGCCGCCGCGTCCACGGTCTTGATGCGATTTTCTTTCAGCACTATTCGCTGGATGCTGGGATTCAACGCGATTGGTATAACGTCAAGGTTGGCGCCTACGCAGGAGACCACCAAGGTGTCGTCGTCGCAGGTACAGCCGGTGGGACAGAAAGTTCGAGCGTCGGCTGTGCCGAGGGCGAAGAGTCTGACCAGCACGAACAGGTGGAGGATGCTGCTGACGGTGAAGCTGCGCCGTGACGTCTGCAAATGACAAAACGAGGAAGTTTCGGTTAGTCGTGAATCATGGCAAAACTTATTTATAGCGATGCCTAAATATTACGTGCATGAATCATGTCGCTCGATAAGACTAGGCTTTTATATCGGCTAAGGAAAAAGATTTCCTCGTTCATGTGAATTAATTGAATTACATTACAGTATGTTACTAGAGTTAAGTAATATACGAAGTACATATATATTATATCACAAAATTATGGAATAAAATTATATTATAATTATGATATTATATTAACACACGTCATGTGTTAATGTGTTGAATACGTGTGAGAAATATACTATAAAATACACTAAAAAATATTACATATAAAGGAAGAGGAAAGAGTGAGCTGTTGCTTGATAAAATTAAGCTCGGCAAAAGAAAAAATTTCCCTGTTCGTGTAGATTAATTGAGTCACATTTTAACATATTACGAAATTATGACATAAAGTTATGTTAAAATTATATTATGTTAATATACATACGTAATGTATATTAATGTGTTAAATATGTGTGAGAAGTAAATTATAAAATATACATTTAAAGGAAGAAAAAACTCTCCAGATTGAATGATTTAATATATTTTGCTATTTTGCGAAGTAATTACAAACTAATTTACATTTATATTTAATTTCTACTAATTAAATTCTCTTTTTTACCAAAAACTCTAGTATTCATCAAGAAATCAGATGAGCTATTTGCAGATATTCGGTCTTGATGCTGGCTGTGAAGTTAGTACCCTGTTATTTAATTGCAATTTTGATAGAGTCATGGCAGACAGGAAAATATAAACTGTGAAAGAACTAATCAATTACAATCGACTGTTCTTGGACCATGAGTAGAATCATCGGCTGTGGTTGGTCACTTTGCTTACTGCTACAGTTTTTCCGTGCGCTCCTTAATCGCTGGAGCTCTAATCAGTTCCGATCGGCACAATCGACGCGTAAGAACGTCGGGGTGTGACTTCACGAATACATAATCACAGTACATATAGTTTTTACGATCGAATACGATCGATACATTGACAGGAGAGGTTCGTCGCTTCACTGTCAGTAATTCGCAAGGGGTAAAAAACTCGGGTGTAACAGTCTCATCAATATCGCGCCTACGCGAGGAGAGTTTCACCGAGTCGGCGGATCGCTGTCGTGTGGAGACCGGAACACACTTTCCGCACACTGTCGATCCTACGTCTAGCGAAGAGCGCCGTCGAGAGTCGCCCTAGGAAATCGATACCGTCTGGTATACAGCGTGCCCAATTTACGCCGGTTTTACGATGGAAGCGTGGAATTATTTCTCGCGCAGTTTCACCGCCGACGTAGCCGAAGAGGAGCTAGCCGTGATGGTGATGGTCTCCTCGCTCGCTCGCTCTCATCTCTCTCTCTCTCTCTCTCTCTCTCTCTCTCTCTCTCTCTCTCTCTCTCTCTCTCTCTGCCTCTCTCACTCGTAACGTGAGGCAAGTTATTTCCGTTTTCGTGGGTCGGCGATCGCGCACGTAGGTGCGAAATTAAGCCTGCCGCGCGCAGCTGAAACACCCGACGGGCTAAATTATATCCGGAAATACGAGCGCCCGCGGCTGTTCCGCGGATAATAAGCCCCCGGGACGTAAAAACTTCTATTCGAGATGGAAACGCCGGCACCGTCCGCCGCGCGCACGGGACGTCCGAGCGCGCGCCTGTAGTACGCCCCAAGTACGCCGTAAAACCTAAACGGGATGGGCTTGATCTCCGAAACGGCCGAAGACGCCCGCGTTTCGGACGGCGAGATCGCGCCGTTCGTGCGCGCGATACTTATCGGCGGACAGGGCAAAAATTTGATATCGATCCGTGATATCAGTCCCGCCCCTACCATCGTTACTGTCGTGCAATCCAAAAAATTCCGGTTCAAAGAATATATCGTGCAAATTTGGTGAACGCAGAAAATACACGAGAACCACGTTGGTTGACGGTTACGATTCATTGCGGGAGAATAACGACGTCGTTAAAGCATTGCACCTTACCCCGATGGACAAGTGTACGTAAATGCGGCAACAACTTTATACAACTACATGGAGAGAATATTCGAGTTTCTTTCCTTGTAAATTTTATTCAATTTTATGCTTCTAATAGTAGGAGTAGAAGGTTCATCTTGCTAAGGGACATGGTAAACTTTGCTGGAAACATAGCAAATTTTTTAACAGTACAGTTCCTAAAATATAAATACACGAGGAAAATATTATAAAAGTCAAAATTATGTGGAAACTTATACTTCTTTTTATAATATTTTTGTGCAAAGCCGAACTATGCTGAAATTGTAGTGTAAATTATTATAGAAATGGCAAATCGGACGATTCACCTGATACACATTATTGTGCGATACAAATTTGATATTTAATCCAATACTGTATATTCTCCTGATAAGTGCAATTAAAACAATCAGCTATAGTTACGCAAAAATGATCTAACCCATTAAATTATGATTTCTGAGTTTCTGTTACCAGTGGGTGTAGTCCATATATAAAATGAAAAATATCCAACCTTATACCTAAAATCAACTAAAAAAAAAACAGTTTTTATTTTCCACTAATTATGCCATTTTGTACTAATTGTCAATGAATATCCTTAAGGAGAAGAACATTGGTCCTGCTTGACTTCGTGAACAATTGCAAAGTACCTCAGCGCTATCTGTATCTTTTAAATCACACGTCAAATTTTCATCTTTATTTTTCACTTTATGTGGGTTGGATCATTCTTGTATAACCACGGCTAACTGATCCATCAAATCAATTGATTGTCGTTAATCATGAATGTCTATAGGATTAATAAGCTTTTATTGGCTATTTCTTATCGAGTTTTGGTAAAAATTCTCGTTGAAAAAGCATGTGTGCCGAATTCTGCCGTATTTTCAATGGAGTCTGTCACACGGACGGTGCGGTGCATATATATATATATATATATATATATATATATATATATATATATATATATATATATATATA